GTGGTCATGTGTATCTAGACCTACCAGGGAATAAAACCACTGTCCAGTTATCCATCCTAGGTGATATACGCACCCTAACCATGGTCTTGAGACTCAAGCTCATACCATGGCACCATAACATAAATATATAAAGTCCGTTCAAAGTGTGTCATTCAAAAAGCTTATTGACCTGACACAAAGTTATCAGTAGGACTTAACTTTTGTAGTTAATCCATCTTATTTCAGAATAGGTAGGTCTTAGTATTTTTTTTTTAAACTAAGCCATCCCTAATATGCCACCGTCCCATACCGGTGCATATACATCCATATAAGTAGAGCTTAACGTTTATAGTTAATTCAACTTATTCCAAAATAGGTAGGAGTTAGTATTTTAACTAATCCGTCCTTAGTATGCCACTATCCCATATCGGTGCATACAGCCCTCCAAATAGCATAGTTTACAAATAACACTATGTATTCAACAACCATTCTCCAATATATACATCATTATAATCTAATACATCTATATCAATATTAGGCATTCATTATAAGGCCTAACTATAACATTCCAATAATGTAAACTGCCAAAATAATCTAAGCATTTACATTCTTCAACTTGTCTATAAATCGATGCAGTTCCGTAGCAAGGTGTATATAAATTTGGTCCAACATAAATATAATTAAACATGGGTGTAACTAAGTCATGCCTCCACTGAAAGACTTAGAACCCAAGCTTCAGTCCATTAGATTGACATAACAGGTTCATGTAACTTCCTTCTCCAAACAGTACTATAATTGTGCATTTATGTACTGAATTAAGCATCAGACTATTCCAAACACACATACACATAATTGAATAACAACCTGCTTATAACAGAGCTGCCAAACATGCTTCAAAACCTAAGAACATGTAAAGAAATCAAATCTCTTCCAGACAGTGTTGTAGCAAATGAGATATATAATAGATTTAAGCTATCAGTCAATCCCAACCAAGCATACATGTATATAAATAACATAATGTTCTTAACTCAACTACAGATCATGATTCAAAACTTAAGATCATGCAAAGAAAACAAATTGCACATCAGTCTGCAACACAAGCCAGTTGCTCCCTTAACCACATATAGACCTTTGATCAAACTGATGTTAATTCTGTCCTAGATTCTGAATGTAAGCTTGGTTCTTAATTATTTCATACATCATAAGCAGTGTATTACCTCACTCAACAGCCTTTAAACCATTCCAGAAACCCAGACTCAGCCAAACAGAACATAAAATTTCAGTTTTACGCACCATTAAGAGAAAGAGATGGCTCTAAGTTTCACAGAGCCTTCTCCACTTTAGGAGAGCCGGCTCCCCTTCCTTGGGAGCCCGCTCTCACCCCCAGAGAGCCGGCTTTAGTGTTTTGGTAGCAGGCTCCCTCTATTTTTGGAGCCTGCTTTCACCCCTAAGAGCCCTGGCTTGTTCTGCATCTGTCATCTTCGACTCCGGCGGTTACAGTCTTTAAAAATAGTTTTATTACAGATTTTAAAGTCCTATCCTCATCCCAGATAAATCACCAGATAGAGTTATACCCCTTTTAGTTGAATAACAGATCAAAGTTTGAAACAACGGCAACCATACAAAAGACTGAACTTGTAGTCGACTGAGAAACAGATTCAATTCCATCATGCTAGAAACTTATTTAACATGTTTAATTTCAGTTTTTAAGATCCCACTCACATCCTAGAGTAACCACAAGACAGAGTTATACAAACAAGAACGGAACTAAACATCAATTTGTAAAGCATCGACAATAAGATTTTAAGCTGAACGTGTAAAACTATGAAAACAACTTATATTCAATGATGTTTAATACTGTTACAACATGTATAAATGATGTCATTAAGTCTTACTTTAATTCCTGGAGTGTAACTAAGCATGCATAGAACACAAATTCTTGGGAAAGAGAAGATCAGAAACTTGCCTTTGAATTTCAGATTTGAAATTCTAATTCACCGTCTCTGTAATATGTTTGGTTCCTAAACTGCAAGTCTGCTCCTCCAGTACCTTGGTTCAACCCAAAAGCATCTCTCCTTCCTCCTTCTTGGTCCAAACTTAATCCAGACCAAAACCCATACCTCCTCTCTTTATCTTTCTCTGTGTCTCTCAATAACTCACTGTATCTTTGTTCTACAGAAAACCTACGTTTTGTTTTGTATTGTTTTAAACCCTAATCCACTGTAATATACATATATATAGGTTTAGACATTAAACCCTAATCCATATATAACCCGGCCCATATGTAAACCTAGGTTACAAAACAATGACGGCTGCCTATGAAAATTATAAACCCAATGAAAAGCTATATAACAGTCACGTTGAGAACAAACTAAATCAACTATCACAAAATTAATCCAATTAAAATAATTAAATAAAACAATCAAATCCATAATTACAACAATTAATTAATTAACTTAAACAATGAATGCAATTAAAAACAATTACACAAATAATCAAGTAAACTAACACATAACTAAATCAATTACTCAATGAAAAAATAAAAATTAAATTTCCAATTCTATCCTTTTGAAAACTAGGAGTATTACACATTGGCTCTAAGATGGATTCATGTAATGAATGTGTTAGTAGAGCAATTGAAGACGCATCAGTCAAAGATATGAAACTCGACCTAGATGAAGAACTGAAAATATTATCCAATTTTGGCATGGTAGAGCGATATAGAGTAACTGCTAAACTTGCTTGATTTTTTTTTTTTTTACAACTAAAGATGAGGAGTAGGAAGCATGGGTTAAGGAAGTAATTCTTTAAATGCTACTTAAACTTTTGGATATGATTTTTGGATGAACAAGTGGTTCAATGATGCTACTTAAACTTTTGGATATGGTTTTGGATGAACAAGTCGTTCTATGATGCTACTTAAACTTTTGAATATGATTTTTGGATATTTATATAACTCTTATTAAGTTTGGACTTTTGAATATGATTTGGATGACCCATGTAGTTCTTTTTGGATATTTATGTAGCTCTTATAATTTGGTTTGTGAATGATTAATTTGTTTTTGCAATTAAAATCACAAATTTTATGCTTTCAGCTTGTTCTACTTTATTGGGTCCTTTTAATGCTTCTTTTATTGTAGGCCAAATATGGTGTTTTGGTTTGACTATTTTTATTGTCTTGGCAAGCAAGTGATGCAAATATGTAAATTCAAGTAATAGAATTCTTTTAAACCTATATCAGATCATTTTTAATAAATATTTGTTACATCTTCGATACTGTGGCAAGCAGGTGATACATTTGTATTGCATTTTATAAGATATTTAAAATTAAAAAAAAAAAATACATTACACATTATAAGATAATTGTATTTTTTTGCATTTTATAAAAATATATGAATTGGTATAAGCTTATTTTATTTTATAATATTAAGAATATGTTATTATGTTTTAATATAACTCATATAGTACAAGTAAGGGTATTTTAAAAAAATTAATTTATAAATCTTCCATTCTAGCCTTTTATTTTGTCAAACCAAACACAAAAATGAGAATCTCATTCCATTCTTAATGAAATCAGAAGAATGATCATACCATTCCTACATTATTTAGAATAAGAAGAATGCATGTTCCATTCCTACATTATTTGCATTCTATTCTCACTTGCATTATATTTATGTGTACCAAACATGCACCCTTACTATTTTGATGAGCCAGCTCCCCCAATATCTCGGTATGCACAAAAGAACCATGGAACTAGGACCGGAACAGGAACTGAACTGAACCGGGGCTTCGGTTCCGGTTCTTACGGTTCCAGTTCCGGTCCCGGTTCCTAAAATGAGGAGCCGTTGAGATTCGGTTCGATTTCGGTTCCGATCTCACGGAACTGAACCGAACCGTAATATATATATGTGTGTGTGTGTGTGTGTATGTGTGTGTGTATTATATATATTTGATTATATTATTAGTAATTCTAAACCAAAAAAACAAAATATTTTTAGGGCAAATCATTTCAGGTCTCAAGGTTCAGTTCCGGAACCGAACTGAACTGTAATATATATATATATATATATATATATATATATATATATATATATGATTATATTATTAGTAATCCTAAACCAAAAAAAAAAATTAGGGCAAATCATTTCAGCCTTCCCAATCGCCTCCATCTCTATTCTCGTTCTTGACTTTGAACTTCTTTCTTTCTCTCTCTCTCCAACTGCAAACTACAAAATCTATCAGAAATTCAAAACCCATATTTTTCACTTTATCTATCTGTCTGCAAGAATCAAATGTTCAAAACCCATATTGGCATATTGGGTTTTGTTTTAAATTTTTTTTTTTTTTCTAAATCAATTAATCAAGGTCTATAAGACTATAATTCTTGTTTTGCAAACTAAATCCTATTCTCTTTTTTTTTTTTTTTTTGGAAGGAAAAGGGGTGGCCGAAGATTTGCAAAGGTCCTAGAAAATTTTGTTTTCCATTGTAGCAGTCAACGATAGTCAACGATTCCTTAGAACTGAATCGGAATTGAACCGTGAATTCTGGTTCGGTTCGGTTTCAGATCTCAACAATTCCGGTTCCATTTTTAAGGAATAGTTGAGATCGATTTCGATTCCGATTTCGATTCTGATTCCATTTCGATTTTAATTCCTAACCGTATCGTGTGCACCTCTCAGTAGAAGGAATGGGAAAGTCACCCATTCACTCATGTATTTATTTATTGTTGGCATCATTCACTCCTTTCATTTTTGTAGATAAAAAGGAAAGGCAAAGGAGTGGAGAAGGAGCAAGAACCTATTTTCCCAAACCTAGGGTTTCACCAGCAGCCCTCAAAGCAAGAAAAAGTCGCCTCACCGGCGGCAGAGCCAGGGGTAGGCGATGGGGGGCCTGGCCCCTGCAAGAAATTCAGTATCTTTTATTAGTATAGGTTGAAAAACAGTTTAGTAGAACTTGTGTAAGGTAATGAGTACCTTTGGCCCCGCAAAAATTTTTTTAGTTTATTATATATATATATATATATATATATATATATAATTTATTATATCATCTTTACTTCTTTTAACATATTTTAAAATAAAAAATCTTGTTTTTCAGTTTTTCTAAATCTCTTGTTCCCTGGCATGTTTTTTGTTTAGTTATAATATATATTATTTTATAATGCTTTGACCCATTTTTTTTTTTTGTTTGTTTCCTTCGTGTCCCTCCACCCTACCTCTTCTTTTCCTTGAAATTTTGGGGTTTTTTTTTTTTCGCTGCATAATGCGTATCTCACTCAGTCCATCAGATTCTCTCTTCTCAGTTCTCTCACTCAGTCCCTCACTTTGGCCCCCCCAGTCACACGATCCTGGCTCCGCCCCTGCGCCTCACCTTTTCTTCCTCTCACCTCCCCTACCCTCATGTCTGTTCTTCTTCGGATCTGGCTTTCTTATTCAAACAAATTATCTCTTCTTTCTTTTTAGTCACTGTCTTCTTTGTTTGGATCACATAGAGAGAGATTTATTCACTTCGATCCACAAGCATAGCAAGACAAGTCATCCTCCTTATTTTTCTTTCTTTCTTTCTTTCTATCACAGATAATCAAGGGATGCGATCAAGAGGAGTTAGCAACATCTAACTCACCCGCATCCCTGATTATCTATGGTTGGAAGAATAAGGAGGTTGAGTTTTCATGCTCTGTCTGTACATAGATTTATCACCATCATGCCCCTTGTGGCTGCTGGCCACATGATTTATCCAGGATAGCCCTGCAATCTAATCAAGCCACGGTTTGGTTTTTACTACAAACAAAAATTTGGATCTTCGATTATTGAAATGAGACCATAAGTCTTTGTTTCATACTGTTACATGATCTATGTTTGTTTATTTTGCGAAGCTATCCTCTATAAATCATGTGGCCAACTGTCACAGTAGATTCACTTTCACCCTCATCAATCTCCGATAATCTGTTGATTATGATTTGCAAAGGTACGCTTCTCTAATGCCCAAATCCACAATAAACTCTGATAAAAGTTTAGAAGACCACCTGTAGTAGCAGGTTGTTCATGTTCGAAGTTTGAGAACTTGATTTATTGCATATGTTTTCTATTGGATATATATATATATATATATGTCAGTGGCCTATTTATCTTGAATTTATTGATCCCAATTATTCTATTTAATTTGACTATTTATGGTAGAAGCCTTCTTTGGGAATTTTAAGGTTCTACTAGTGTGTTTCTTTCACTTTTACTTCTCTTTTGTTCTTTCATTACTTTACATTTTACATTTTACTTGTTTGGTGATGAGATATATCTTACACTTTGTTTGGAACCATTTTCATTATTATTTTTTTTTTTTTGGATTTGGAATTAGAATTTGAAAAGTAATTGGATTGTAATTTAAAATAGGATTCTATTTGCAGTTCAGAATAAATTGGAATTTGTAAAAGAGAATTTGAAAAAAAAAAAAAAAAAAATTTTGGGTCAAATATGTGAAAAAGATGTAGTTTGTAGTAGAGAAGATGTTAAAGCAGGTTGTAGCTGTTGTTGGATGATAATTTTGGTAAGTTAATTGTTATTTACCAAGGATTTTCTTACATTACAATATTTATCTTGAAATTTGATCTTTTCTTATTCTGTCATAACATATAAAGGATTCAAATATTAGATTTTGAGTTTGTACACATGTAATATATTTTCGTGCAGACAAAAGGGTAAATTTAGGGAAATAGGATAGTCCATGGAACACAATGCGGTTCAAGACTCTTCTAATGAGGATAAGGACTTGCATTGTTATTGTCATGCTTAACAGGAGAGAGGAAAAAAATTGAAACCTCCAATGTCCAACTTGTTTGCTCATGTTCATTGCATCATCTCTGATTACAATTAATCATTTTAAAAATGAAACACGAAGTACTGCAGTATTAAATTAATTGCTATGTAAAACCATATATGTAATGCAAAATTATGTCTTTACTCTATTGATGTTTCTTATAAGTTATACCTTCACTAGGCACAAAGTCATCTTTGGCTATTCTTGAGTGCCTTCACTAGACACAAAGTCATCTTTCTTCTTGAGTGCCTTCAGCTTTACTGTTACTGCATCTTTTTCTTTATCTAGCTCAGCAAGGGTGGTGAATTTACTTTGATGTGGTGGTTGAAGAAGACTGCAATGTAGAAAGCACAGAAAAGGAAGAAGAAAATCAGGGGACTCAAGATTGATAGTACATTTGCCACTCTTGCTGTGCTAGATAAGGAAATAGAGGCACTCAAGAAGAAACGTGCACGCCATGTCTCATTTCTCGAGCTCAAATGTGGAGTCTTTGACTGGTGTTTCAGCATCGATTCACCGTGCTGGGGTTCTCTGCTGTGATGTTAGATATGGGAGATTTTGGTAGTTATGTTCAGAAGTTGGGTAGTTAGCTTATTTGCATCTTCTTGGCTACTTCAACAAATCAAACAAGTTGGTATTCGGCATATTACCATAATAATAACCATATCAGAAGTAAGGCCTTGTGGACCTGGAGGCTGTAGCACAGCAATTCTCACTTTGTGTTTAGATTGAAATTTATGATTGAAAAGTTGTATGTACGTATCAACTGTATCTCTTTTTATTTGGTGTGTTTATGCTATTGATATGAAGATGATGCAGCTATTGAAGTCTTCGCTAAAAATTTGTTCTGATAATCATAAGTGTGATTGTCTACGTGTCTTTTTTTTTTTTTTTTTTTTTTTTCTCTCCTTGTTTTGTCTTTTCAATTAAGGGCTTTTGGTTCACAATGGCAATAAAGCTTTTAACAAGAGTAAACTGCAAAGAAAGTAATGCAGTTTGCAATGCAATCAATATAGAGGTTCTTATTGTTACTCATTTGGCTATGCAGTTTTCCCATTCTATTGCTCATATTCTGGATATAAGGTATGTATATGCTCAATTGGGGTTGCCTATATATGAACACACTGTTTAATATCTATTCTGAATTTTTTTTTTCCTTTTTCCTAATCACAGATTATTAAGTTAGAATTAGAAAGCAATTCTGTTCCACTTAATTCTTTAAAAAATAAAAATTAAAAATTAAAGGATGATTGATTTGTTGTGGGTTGTTGTGGGGAGCTGCATGGCTTTGTAGTAGAGTGACAGTCGATGTTGACAGTCGATGTTTCTTACTCCAATTTCATAAAATCTTTAGGAGCTAATGGTGCAACAGACATTCCTAGCTATGGGATAATTTGGTTCCATCGCGCATATAGAATTGTTTAGATGGTTATCAAATCCAATTTCATTCGCAAATTTGTTCTCCTATCTAGGGTAAAAACTTGCCAATTAAAGAAACTACTTGGTTTTGATTTTATATTTGTGTATGTTTATATATATATATGTATATATATATATATATAGTAGGAGAGAATTTCGTGTCTGCTCCTCGAAAATTTGGTTTTTTTCAATTTTTGTTATTGTCATCTTATTAACAACTCCCTTAATGGCAATGACTGCGATGGGCCTTCGCCCACCATTTGATGATTTGAATACACCTATGGAGAAAAATGTGGCACCATTTTTTTTGTCTTGTGTGTTTTCCTCCCTAATATGATATGAGTAATTAATAGACAAATGAGCAGTGATAAAACCATGTTCACACGAGTGTGAGAGGGTCGGTTTTAACTGACTCGGTTGAGATTGAATGAAAATGATTGTTAGGCGGATTTCTCTAAAGCTATTTGTAGGAAAATGATTGTTAGGCTGATTTCTCTAAGCTATTGTATAGTTGAAGAGTTTTCATTCTTTTGATGTGGTGATATGACCCACACTTGAAATTATCTTACGTCAAATGAATAAAAATTCTATTGGTTTAGATTATTTGGCCAAACAAATAGGCCTAAATATTATTACTCAACAATTAGAGGAACATGAAAAGCTATCTTAACTTGCTTTGTCCAAGTATTATGCTTTCTAAGCATTTACAAGCATAGTTGTCAAAGGCGCCGGAGGCGCAAGGCGCCTCCAGGCGCCATGTTTGCGCCTTGGGTACACTTAAGGCGTTTGTGTTAAGAGAGGCGTGCGCTTTTCCGACCAAGGCACCAGGCTACGGGTGCTATAAAGGCGCGCCTGCATGAAACTGTGATTTTTTTACTTTTTTTCGCTATTTTTTTATTGTTTGTTTATTGTCTGTGACTCTGTGTAAGTATGTATTGTTATATTATTGTATTCTATTATTTTATTACTTAATATAGTAGAAAGCTCAAAGCCGAAAGCCTTGCAAAATAAAAAACAAAAAAAAAAAAAAAAAGAGAAGCAAAGGAAAGAAGAAGACAGAGACAGCGAAGGCAATACAGTGCTCACTCGGACTCTCGGATCTGCGTCGCGCCGTCGGCAAACACTGAGCAAGTAAGTTCTCCTTCTTCTCTTCTTCTTCTCTCCTTCTCTTCTTGAATCTGCCGGATCTGTCAGATTTTTTTTTTTCTTCTTTTCTTCTTCTTCTTTTCTTCTCTCAACTCTTTCTTGCCAGATTTATATCATTTATTTTTATTTTTCTTCTTCTTTTTATTTTTTTTATTTATTTATTTTTTCCTTCAGTTTTATTCTTCTTTTTCTTTTTCTTTTTCTTTTTCTTCTTTTCTTCTTCTTCTCTCGAGTCTCAGCTCTCTCCTGAGTCCTGGCAGATTTGTTGTTTTTTTTTTTTTTTTTTTTTTTTTTTTTTTTTTTTTTGTCTTCTTTTTACTTTTTATTTTTATATTTTTATAATCTGTGCTACTAGAATAAATTGTAGTATACAATTCTGTTGGTATATGGTATCATGCAGTCCATATATGCATATATATTACATCTCATATAGTAGATAAATCTCATATAGTATGTGCAAGTAATAAGTGAATGCATATAAATGTATGAACATGTTATGCCGTCCATATATGATGTTTATGTTTGTTTGTTTTAGTTTTAATATGTATGATTATTCACTGTTGAACTCAAGTACTTGATTTACTTGGTTTTGCAATCTTTATGTTGAATATTTAACTTAAGTAATTCATTTAGTTGACTTTTACATCTTTATATATACTATTGCATCTTTAATATTTTATTGGGTGGGTTTTATTTATTTATTTTTTCAACGTGTGCCTTACTTCAGTCGGGCGCGCACCTCGCCTTGCACCTTGCACCTCAGGCTCCAGGAGGCATTTGCGCTTTTGTGCGCCTTGAGCCTTTAACAACTATGTTTACAAGCCTAATTCTAAGGGTCGCAAAATTGGTAACAAACCATCAATCCGTTCATATCCGTTCGTTTTTTAAATATTATAGGTGAATCATATTTAAGATGAGTTAAAAATGGATTGGGTAATTTTTAATCACTTAATTTGATGGTCAAGATAGGTTGAATATGGTTATTCATATTTCACCCATAACATAATAGATACATAACACACATTTATTCTATATTGCACTCAAATTATTTATCTCTCACGAAGGGCTGCAAGTTGGGCTGGCCCAACCCAGTTTATTCTCAACCCATATTTTGGGCGGGTCGTGCAGGTTTCACGAATTATATACATATAAAAATATATTTACACATATACAAATTACATTTACCTTTTCCATATTTGTAAACATTAAAATTTTTAAGAAAATTTTATTTTTTAAACATCAATATTTTTGGTGAGTGGGTCGGATTTCATTGGTCAATTTTTAAGAAAATTTTATTTTTTAAAATCAATATTTTGGACGGGTCAATAATTCATTTATTTATTTATTTTTATTTTTATTTTTACAAATATACAAATTACATTTTCCTTTTTCGTGTTTGTAAACATCAAATTTTTTAAGAAAATTTTATTTTTTAAACATCAAAATTTTGGACCAGTTGGTGGGATTTTACGGGTCAATTTTTTTATTTTATTTTTTTTATTTTTCAAATATGCAAATTACATTTTCTTTTTCTATGTTTGTAAACATTAAAATTTTTAAGAAAATTTTATTTTTAAAACATCAATATTTTGGGCGGGTCGTACGGGTTTCATGGATCAATTTTTTATTTTTTTTTTAAATAAATATACAAATTACATTTTTCTTTTTCATGTTTGTAAACATCAAAATTTTTAAGAAAATTTAATTTTTAAAATATCAATATTTTGGGTCGGTCGGTTGGATTTCACGGGTTAATTTTTTTTATACAAATATACAAATTACATTTTCCTTTTCCATGTTTGTAAACATCAAAATTTTAAAAAAAATTTCATTAATATTTTGGGCGGGTTTCACGATCATTTTTTATTTTATTTTTACAAATATGCAAATTAAATTTTCCTTTTCCATGTTTGTAAATATCAAAATTTTTAAGAAAATTCTATTTTTTTAATTATCAATATAAGTTTTAACGGGTTAACCCTATACATTTTCAATTCGTCCATTTTTAACCCATTTTGAGTGAGTTGAATATGAATCTTGACTCATGTTTAACCCGCTCATTTTCAACCCAACCCAAATCTGGCCCAACCTACCCATTTGTCACCCCTACCTAATTCCAACTATTAGAAATATGTCATTTCATTATTTGGTTAACTATCTAATATTTTATCATTTTATGTTTATTCTAACAAAAATAGCCAGCAAAAATTTTAATTACACTTTGTCTAATAAAATGCCTCTTCTTCTTGTAATATACATCACAATCTAATGATGGAGCTTATGATGGGCTCTAAAGAATGGAACTATTGACATAAATACGGATGGTCATGTTTTTCATGTTGCTCTGTATTTTGTCAGATAGTTCATCTAGTAGCTGAAGCTCTAGTTTTTGGAAAAGCTTCGACTCTTAATGGAGCTTTGTAAATGTTGCACAAGGAGTGACTGTAAGCCAGTAATGCAAGGAGTAATCTTCGAAAAGGGAAAAAATCGTCTTCGAACACCCTCTATATGTACCTATGTATTTGTACCTATATATTTGTACTTGGCGCAAACATACGATCTTAAATTTCCCCCTGAAAGTGATTTCTTATATCCCCCCAAATCTGGTATCTTATTTCCCCCCAAAACAAAAATGTTTATCCTCAACTTTTGTATCATTATTTGCCTCTGAAATTCAGCCCTCTCTCCCTTTGAAATTGAAGTCATGAAGAATCCGGTCATTGACCAAGAATCCAGCCAAAGGCGAAGCTTATCCGATGAATAACCAAGCTTCGTTTAGGTGTTTGTCCCTTTGAAATTGAAATTTGAAGAATCCGGCCAAAGACCAAGCTTCATTCAGGTCTCTCTCCCTCTGAAATTCAACTCTCCCTCTTAAATTGAAACTTCGTTCAGATCTCTATCCCTCTGAAATTTAAGTCTCTCTCTGCTGATCAAGAATCCGCCCACAGACCAAGCTTTGTAAACATTGTTCGTCTTCAAAGAAGCATATATATTTGTACAAGAATTTGGTTTGTTTGTTTTTCTGTATTTTTATATATTTCAGTTAAGCTAAATTTTACTTTGTTTGTTGTTCTGCATATGTATTTTAAATTTGTAGAATCTGTAGTTTTATTTACATGTCATTTATAAGTCTATTTTGCATCTGATTGTAGTCATTGAATTTGTGATATATTAGTAATTTTGTTTTATATTTGGCTTATGAAATATAAAACCCATGAATTATATACGATTCAATAAATTAAGATACAAGAAAACAGTGAGTGTGATAATATTTTTTCCAGTAGACATATGTGTTTACATATAATTTATAAGTTTATTTGCCATCTAATTATAGTAATTGAAATTGTGATATAGTAAGGCAATTTTTTTATATTTGGTTTGTAAAATAACTCCTGAATTAATTCTGATTCAATAAATTAAGACACAACAAAACAGTGTGAGTGTGATAATATTTTTTCTACTGGAGATATGTGTTTACATCTAATTTAGAAGTCTATTTTACATGTGATTATAGTAATTGAATTTGTGATATATTAAGCCAATTGTTTTATATTTGGTTTGTGAAACAATCCCTTAATTAATTTTGATTCAATAAATTAAGAGCCAACAAAACAATATGAGTGTCATAATATTTTTCGATCAGAAATTGAGAGGGAGAAACACCTGAACGAAGTGTACTGTTGCATTGAAATTTATTTACTTATAGTTATGTTTTGATCAGAAATTGAGAGACAATCTTAATATATTTTCTACTGTATTAAAATTAAGTTCATTGTACTGTGTCATTGAAATTGGTTTGGAATGTCAAATTTAGTTATACTAATAAGTGGTGCCAATGTTGGAAAATGTAATGAATGTTTACATATCCATGATATTACTGAATTTATTAAAATGTGATGGTTTATTTATTGAACTGTTGAGAGTTTTTTGTAAAATGTTATGTTGCTCAGTTGAAGTATGTTAGGATTTCTTTTGAATGATATGTTCATATAAGTGGTGTCACAAGTTGGAAAAGTTTATGATATGCATAATATTACTTTATAAGTAAAATTTGTGAGAATGTTAGTAAAAAGATGTAATGGTTTATAAATAAAGATGCTGACACTTGTTTTTGAAAAGCTATGTTTTGTAGTTGAAGTATGTTTAGATATATTTTGTATGACATGTTCATATAAATGTTGCCACATGTTGAAAAACTATATGAATGCGTGGACATGCATTATATTACTCTATCTGTTAAAATCATGTGAAGATGTTAGGTTAAAGATGTGATGGTTTATTTGTTAAACTGTTGACACTTGTTTATAAAAGGTTATATTGTCCAGTTCAAAAGTTCATTTGCTTCCCACTTTAAATGATTTTTCTTTATGAGGTTCAGTTGAAGTATGTTAGGAATAATTTTGTATGACATGTTCATATAAGTGGTGACACATGTTGGAAAAGTATATGAATAGATGTTAGGTAAAAAATGTGATGATTTATTTATTAAACTGTTGACACCTGTTTGTAAAAGGTTATGTTGTTCAGTTCAAAAATTCATTTGGTTCTCACTTTAAATGCCTCTATGAGGTTCAGTCGAAGTATTTTAAGAATAATTTTGTATGATATGTTCATATAAGTGGTGCCACATGTTAGAAAAGTGTATGAATAGATGTTAGGTAAAATATGTGATGGTTTATTTAGTAAACTGTTGACACCTGTTTGTAAAAGGTTATATTGCTCAGTTCAAAAATTCATTTACTTCTCACTTTAAATGCATTTATGAGGTTCAGTTAAAATATGTTAGGAATAATTTTGTATGACATGTCCATATAAGTGGTGCCACATGTTGGAAAAGTATATGAATGTGTGGACATGTATTATGTTACTCAATCTATTAAAATCAGGTCAACATGTTAGGTACAATATGTGGTGGTTTATTTATTACACTGTTGACACCTGTTTGTAAAAGATTATGTTGTTGAGTTCAAAAGTACATTTGCTTCCCACTTCAAATAATTTGCCTTTATGAGGTGCAGTTGAAGTATGTTAGAAATAATTTTGTATGACATGGTCATATAAGTTCTGCCATATGTTGGAAAAGTGTATGAATGTGTGGACATACATTATATTACTCAATCTGTTAAAATCAGGTGAAGATGTTAGGTTAAAAAATGTGATGGTGTATTTATTAAACTGTTGACACCTATCTGTAAAAGGTTATGCTGTCCAGTTCAAAAGTTTTTTTGGTTCCCACTTTAAATGATTTTCATTTATGAGGTTGGTTGAAGTATGTTAGGAATAATTTTATTTGACATGTTCATATAAATCATGTCACATATTGGAAAAGTGTATGAATAGATGTTAGATAAAAGATGTGATGGTTTATTCAATAAACTGTTAACACATGTTTGTAAAAAGTTATGTTGTTCAGTTCAAAAGTTCATTTGCTTCCCACTTTCAATGATTTGCCTTTATAAGTTCAGTCGAAGTATGTAAGGATATATTTTGTATGACATGTTCATATAAGTGGTGACACATGTTGGAAAACTGTATGAATGTGTGGACATGCATTATATTACTCTATGATTTAAATTCATGTGAAGATGTTAGGTAAAAGATGTGATGTTGTATTTAGTATACTGTTGACAGCTGTTTGTTAAACGTTATACTGTTTAGTTCAAAAATTAATTTGCTTCCCACTTTAAATGTCTTTATGAGGTTCAGTTGAAGTATGTTATGATATATTTTGTATGACATGTTCATATAAGTAGTGCCACATGTTGCAAAAATATATAAAAGTGTGGATATTTATTATATTACTCAATCACTTAAATTCATGTAAAAAAGTTAGTTAAAAGATGTGATGATTTATTTATTAAAGTGTTGATATGTGTTTGTAAAAAGTTATGTTGTTCAGTAAAAAAGTTCATTTGATTCCCACTTTAAATGATTTGCCTTTATGAAGTTCTCTTGAAGTATGTTAAGTTATTTTTATATGTTATGTTCATATAAGTACTGCCACATGTTGAAAAAGTGTATGCATATGTGAATATGCATTATATTATTCTATCAGTTTCATGTGAAGATGTTAGGTAAAATATTTGATGGAATATTTATTAAACTGTTGATACATGCTAGTGAAAGGTGGTGTTAGTTGAACTATGTTAATACTTACGTCTTATGCTTACTTTTGTAATTTTTGAATTTGTAAGTTTTATATTTAAGTTATGGCCATGGAAGATGGAACTATTAATATTGAAGAAACAGATAGCGAATCAGACTGCGAGGTACATGAAGTACAATAGAAACCATGTATTGAAATGGAGTTTGATTCTAAAGATGTGGCGTATGATTTTTACAACAATTGTGGTGGCAGAGTTGGTTTTACTATTCGGAAGGAGTACAAAAATAAAAATCGGAAGGATGGAAAAATAACATCTAGGTTGTTTGTATGTAGTAAGGAAGGTTTAAGAGGTAAGGACAAGAGAGACGGAAAAACAAAAAAACTAAGGGCTGAAACACGCACAAATCGTGGTGCACGCATGTTAGTAAGGTATGATGTGGGTTTGCAAAAGTTCGTTGTAAGACAGTTTGAAGAAAGTCACAACCATCCCCTCATCATGCAGCAGTGCACCCACATGATGCAATCGCAGCGAAAAATTAGCTTAGTGCAAGGTATTGATGTGGAGCTGGCATGTGATTCTGGAATAATAGTTCGTGAAGCCTTCGAATTAAGCTCCAGGCAAGTTGGAAGTAGAGAAGCAATTGGCTATACCAAGGTTAATGTACAAAATTATATTAGGATAAGAAGACAGAATGAGTTAGAATGTGGAGCGGCAGTTTGGCTCATGAATTATTTCCAAACTCAGTCATTGGAAGATTCATCATTTTTTCATGATGTCCAACTGGACACAGATACAATGATAACTAATATATTTTAGGCCGATTCGAAAATGATATCAGATTATAGCCATTTTGGAGATGTGGTTACCTTTGATACAATGTACAAACTTGTTTAAGGTAATAGGCCTTTGGGTGTTTTTCTCGGTTTGAACCATCATCGGTAAACAGTTGTGTTTGGTGCCGTTTTCATGTATGATGAGACGGCAGATTCATTTACTTTGTTGTTTAATACATTCTTGAACGTAATGCCCAGTAAAGTGCCCAGGACAATATTGACTGACCAAGATGGAGCAATGACAAAGGCATTAGTACAGGTAATGCTCGACACAAATCATCAACTGTGTACGCGACACCTTATGCTTAATGCGCAAAAGCATATCGACAACTTGTCTATTGGTGGGAAAAGCATGAAAAGTGTGATCTCCAAATGAATGTTTGACATTGACGAGCATGATGAGTTTTTACAGGAATGGGCTTTGATGGAAAAGAAATTTGGTGTGGAGAATAATACATGGTTGGCTAACTTGTTTCGTTTGAAACATGTATGTGCCAAGGCATACGTAAAAAATGTATGGTCTTTTGGTATGCGTACCACACAACTAAGTGAAAGCTTCAACAGTGGCTTGAAACAGTACTTATCTAGACAATATGCACTTCTAAATTTCTTCAAGCATTTCAACACCTTGTTGTATGACAAGAGGTACAAGGAATATCAAGCTGAATATGGTTTGGTGCAGAAGATGCCTAAGATGAAAGCAAGGTCTCCCATATTAGATCACGCTGGACATGTGTACACTGCTAACATATTTGAACTTTTTCAGGTTCAATTATTAATAGCTTATATGAGTCATTATATCCTGAACTGCAATGACAATGGTAACGGGGAATTTGTGTATGAAGTTGCGCTGTATAATGACAAGGTGATACGACGAGTGATACGGACACGTACGTGACGACCATTTGTCTTGTTCTTGTGGAAAGTTTGAAATGGAGGGTGTCATGTGCAGCCATACTCTGTAAGTCTTTAGAGATAAGAAGTCTGCAAACAAAATACCAAGCCGATATGTTTTGAAAAAGTGGATAAGAAATGCCAAGGACCACAGATTGGAAGATTTAATTGGCATACATATGCTGACGGATCCTAAACTTGAGAAGAGACAACGGCATAGAATACTTTGTCGTCATCTCACAGAAATATCTTCCATTGCATCCCTTAGCCACGACGGATTCAATAATGTTTTGATGCAGCTTAGTAGTTTGAAGCAAAATGCCCAAGGATCAGTACATAATCCTAGGGCTGCCATCAAAGACATTGTGCAAAGCATTCGAAGAATTAATCTGAAGGGGAATGCCACCAAAGATACATCAAAAGGAAGAAGGCGTAAGTTCATATCTGTGTTGGAAAAAGGCACTACAAAGAAGAAAAAGACTGACAACCGTAATTTAGAGGTACATACCCTTAGCCTTAGTATGTATGTATTTACCTTTATGTGCGTGGTTTTGCTCTGTTATGTTTATCGTTTTATCTCTATTCTTATTATAACAATTTTGAAACAACAATTTGCTCAATTTGTGTTATATAGAATTCCATTGGTGGCGTTGTTGCCGGAGTGGCAGGTTACAGTGGTGCTATTACCACCCCTTTATATATTTTACACAATGTGAGTCTTCTTTTAAGATTGACATATCCGAAACTATGTGTATATCTTAGCATGTATGTATTTACCTTTATATGCGTGGTTTGACTCTGTTATGTTATCGTTTTATCTCTGTTCTTATTATATAATTTTTAAACAATAATTTTCTCAATTTATGTTATATAGAATTCCAATGGTGGCATTGTTATCGGAGTGGCAGGTTACAGTGGTGGTATTACCACCCCTTCATATATTTTACACAATGTGAGTGTTCTTCTAAGATTGACATATCCGAAACTATATGTATATCATAACACTTGAGTTGATGTTTGATTGTTTCAAGGGTGCTAAAATTCCATCACACATATTCATGTCTGAAGAATTTAATAGGCCAGGACCTTCAACACAACCCCAGGAATCGGATAATAGCCCTCGTACATCTTATTTTGGTGAACCCATGACTCCATTAAGTAACCTATTTTTAAGTGAACCAGTAATGACCCCATATGCATATGAGGAACCATTCACGTTGAATCTGGTAAGTGTATATTATATTCATAAGGCTCAAATTTTAAATAAATTTGCTGTTGAAATTGCTAACAACTTATGTACTGTTTTGTGTGAATCATGATACTAAAAAGGAGTTGATGTAGAAGATGTATGTCAATCGAATGTCGCGCCAATGTCCCCTGTGCCAATAGCAAACACGAATCAGACATTTCACCAACAAGTCTGTCGAAAATAAGCAGAACAGAACATTCTCAAGGACATAAAAATTGGTGCATTTATCTCTTTTGGTACAAATATGTTATTGAAAACATATATAAACTTAAATCTTTTGCTTCCTATGTGATCTTAGAAAGACTTTTTACAGTTTATTTATGTAGATTGCATTTATTATTGCACATTAAATATTTCGGTTTGGTGAAGTTGTTGGTAAGAACTGTAAAGAGGCTATGGTTTGTTTGGACAATTACTTTCCACCTACACTTGTAGTTGTTTGGACAATTCATTATGGTTTGGTAAGAACATTAAAGAGGCGAGTTATGTTTTCCCATTGCTGAACTTGAAGTTTAAATATTCAGGGAGTCTTCATCTCCATATCATTCGTCTCATATTCACATCACATATTCTGTATAAGCAATGGGTGCACATCGGTTTTATGTTGTTTTCAAGGTCCAGAATGTGGGTATATACAGGAAGTTGGCAGACACGAAGGCATAGACACGAGGGTATCTTGATATGAAGTATTATACTTATACTACTCATGCAGATGTTGTCAAGGCCTTCAGCAGATGGAATGCCCACTACTATGCTGAAGTGGTAAAAAGTGAAAATGAGGTACTACAAGATATTCAACTTGATGCAATCCGTCTACCTCCACAGGTGTCTCAAGCTGAATGGTAACCGGAACAACTTATTAAGTATGGGGAGTTAACAAAGGCGAGGAGTGTAATTGTTGCAGAGTGTAGACGAGCAGGTCTATCCATTCCATGACCACGTTCACTTGAAATGAAAATGGCAGATACATCAGATATGTATTCCATCATTGCTCAGATTAACCGTGAAATCCGTCAACTTTATGTGAGATGGCGTAAGGTGGAGAAAGTCAGTGAAGCTAAAGAAACATATGAGGATCGCAAAACAAATTGCCTCCATTTTGAATGACCCAGATCTGAAATCAGATTCTGATTTGTCGAATTTTTCTGACCCGGGAGATGATGACTTCGTAATTTCACCTCCAAGATATGCAAGAAAGAATAATTCCAATTGATGTACTTCCACCTTAATTTATTGTAATGAAAATTAGCAGTCACTTATTACCAATGTTTGAATTATTTTTTTGACTTACTTGTATAACCCCTGCTAGTGCCGTTTCAAGTTACACAATGTTTGTAAGAGACGTCATATTCAGAAACACCAAGTATGAGACAGTTTTATTGTCAGCCGCTCTTGCAATTTGCGTCTATTTATATCGTTGTCGTCTAATAAATTACATTAAAGTCCATGGATATATTTCTCGAACATACGATTGAAGATGTTGTCTATCGAATTAATCGTATAGCTTTTACGAGCAATCATGACAAACATACTTGGTCAGTTCTGTGCATGTATTCTATTTATTTAATTATGCACAATTGTTGTCATCAGTATGATTTTTGTTTAACATAAAATTCATGGCTCTGTTTTTCTCTTACCATTAAGGGAAACCGATGCAGTGGGCATTGCATCGTGGACCAGAAATATACATTGTTACGAAGAAAAAATTCAATTACTTGCACTTAATGGACCAGAAAATGCTATCACAGCAAGAACTATGTACCTTCAACAATGTCTTTAGTCTAGGAATAATGTGGCAAGATTTATTAGGGGAGTGGTAAGTGTACGAACATAATATGTTTTTTGAAGACTATATAATTTCTTTCTTTTATAAGTTGATATGATACGTTTTTTTTAACAAGGTTGATTGGATTGGTTACAATGAAAAAAAAAAAGGGTTGGCTTTCTTCCGCACAAATGGTTACGAGTCGATATATCCTATGTGCATTGCATTATTATTATCCAATGAAGAGGACAAGGAGGCAGGGATTAATTTATTAACATTATTGAGGACAAATGATATATTTACCACATTTATGAAGTATGCGCCGAGAAAGATGTTAATAATTATTAAATTGAGATCTTCTTCGAATCACAATTTCTTTATGCATGTTCCTTATTGTTGTCCTGAAGGCAACCACATTGACTGGAATTGCTGGATCCTTAACGAGGATATCATCAAATGCAACCAGTGTTGGTGTGATTTAAATCTTATGCTTTTGCAAGGGCGGTTTCCGCTAGATTGCCTAGAGGGTTTGTTTGGGTAATACTGGTATTTATTTATGTTATATTTGTAATGTGATATATGTTATTTTAATGTACTGCCTTAAATTCAACCTGAAATTCTATGAATAAAACGTATTTGATGTTGAAGTATGTTATATTTGTTATTTGATGTATGTTAGTTTAGTTTTCTACTTTTAATGTTACTTACTTTTAACTTCGTTAATAAAAGTTGTGATGCATGTTAACAAAAGTTGTGATGCATGTTAAGAAGAAATGCATATATTATATACAATTATGTTGTAACACATATTAGTCAAACATTCTGATATATGTTACTTTAATGTTCTACCTTAAATTGACAAACACCAAATTCTATTAATGCATGTCATACATGCTACACAGAAGGGACATTAGCAATTCATGTGATAAATGTAAAGTGATTGGAAAAGGTGGCAATTTCAATGCAGCATATCAGCTTTGATTAATGGACAATTTCCTATGAATGAAAGAACCATAGCCTCTATAAAACCTTAGTATGAACACACAAGATAAGTACGACATAGCAATGTCTAGTT